CCCTTGAGCTCAGGGAGGCCGAAGTATGCGCTGATGAAGCACACGCAAGCTGTACCGCCCCACACGTATCCACACTTACCAGCCATGTTCCAGCCCGTAGGATTGAGCATCTGCGAGGCTAGGTAGATCATAGGAATCTCGGCGACGTAGTATGCGGCTCGGCCAACACCAGTGCTTAGCGCGCGGAGACGGACGGAGGATGTTTCGGCGATGATGGAGTATGAGATCGGACCCATGGCTCCTGCGAAGACAAACGAGATGACAATACCCAGACAAGCTTGGGCGTAGTTGGTCGCGCTGCTCTGGGGGATGGAAGCGCAGATCCCGAGAATGAAGAGCAGGCAGATATTGATGGCGGTGCCCCCAAGGTAAATCGTACGGCGGCCGAAAAAGTTGCTGAGAGGCCACGCGCAGATGTTTGCTACCAACTGCAGGCACGAGTTGATCAAGTTCAGCTTGAAAGAGAAGTCAGATGACATTCCAGCCTCTGCAAATAGTCAGCTTTGCATCTCTAGGGGCTGTGGCGATTCTTGACTTACGCTCGAAGAAGAATGTTGCTTGGTTGGCAATCAGGTTGCCAGCGAAGTTCTGAGATGCGTAGATCAAGCAGGTAATGAGTGTTCGGCGAAGGTCAACTCCTTTGACAAGGTCGAGCAGGGAAGGCTCGCCACCCTTATGAGCTTCGATCTGTACTGTGCGCTCCATCATGGCAAGCGTGTCTTCGGCAGCCGCCTGAGTTCCGTTTCTACGACCAAGGCGCTTGATGGACTTCAGCGCCTGTTCCTTGCGCCCTCTACGAACCAGCCACCATGGCGACTCGGGTGCGAAGAAAATGAGTACCATGAGAGGGGTCTATGGTTGTCAGCTATCGTAAGGATAACACACGAAGAATGTACTTACGGGGAACACCCATTGTAGGGCTAGAGGACCTCTCCATGCCCACTCGTCGTTTCGCTTGTTGTAGCTGTAGGTCGCAGCAGCAACAATGATGCTTCCAATAGACCAAGACATCTGGAGAGTAGCCGTGCAGGCACCACGAAGAACCAGAGGGACGACCTCACTGGCGTAGGCCGGCGAGTTGGCGATGAACATGCCCCATGGGATACCTTCGAAAGCTTGCCCAATGACGAGAACGGCGAGCGAATCGGCCTGGGAATCGTTAGTCCATGAATCCAGATCAGGGTTTATGATACTCACGAAGAAAGAGATGAAGATGGTCGCATTCATCAGCATGAGTGCCAGCAGAGTTGTCCAGCGGTAACCAAGACGGTTGGTAATAGGACCAGCGAGGAAGACTCCAATGAAGGCACCGCATTGGCCAGCTTGGAAGAGTGAACTCTGCCATTTCGTGGGAATGGTCTTGCCAACTTCGCCAGCGACTTGAACACCATATCGTTCTTTGAACGCGGCAAGAGCAACAAAGTTGCCGTTCAAGAACATGTCGAAAGACTCCATGACCTGTTCGGTGTCAGCAACATCTTCTTGGAGATGCTAGCAGGGGTCAAAGACTCACGATAGTAAAGCAGAAGATGAAAGCCCAAAAGCAAGCCATTGGGTGATCCCTCATGGCCTCCCACATTCCCATGTCATGTTCGCGGCTTTCAGCTGCTTGAGCATCTGTCATGAGCTCCTTGTCCTCGAAGATCTCAGCCTGACGACTGAGGCTCTTCTCCAGGACTCCATCGTCGACCGCAGGGGTACCATCTCGCTTGGTTTCGGCAAAGCCCGCCATATCGAGTTAGCGTGTGAGCTGATTGGACGCCACGAAGAGCGAAGAACGAATAAGCAAAAGCCGATGCCAAAAGCCAAGGAGACATGGTGAGCTTGGAGAGCTTATATACTGTATGCACTCTAGATTTGACCTCGGCGTGGGTACACTCTGCTATCATCAACCCACTTAAGCCCACGGGGCCCCGCGACAACCTTTCAAGGGTGCTTGTCGTGTTGATGGGTCTTGATTGGCGGGTCTCTGGGGTAGGAAGAAGCCGGGGTCCGAGCAGAGCCGCGTAGCACTATCTAGCCTGAAACGTCATGATATGGAGACCTGCTATTGATGCGAAATTCGAAGGCTAGGAAACAGCCGTAGCTTGTTTAGGTGATCTTGCCGTACAACAGTGGATAGAAGAGCTACGCGGCACAAGTTCTGCGGAAGTACTCCCACAAGCACATTAGTGAGGCTGGAAAGTGGGATGACAACGTCGGTAGACCTCGTGTGCGCGGTGTACATGAAGCGAATGGGAATGACGCGGAAGTATGAAGGAGTGCTATCTCCAATCTCACTTGGTAATGATGGGCATCGAGACAGACTCGAAGGAGGGTAGTAAGCCCGCCACCGACTACGATCGTTGTTCATGATTGCTATGCCTTTAGTTGCGCGAGTTTTGAGCTCAAGGTCTTACACCCATGGAGGATTTCTGGGGACTAAGAAGTTCTTAGCATGGTATTGCCTGTAGATCCAAAGACTACATTCTCGGTTGACCAGTGACTGCCTGTTTGCACAGCAATGAACTCGTACGAGCGGCCAATGTCGGAGACTACGGCCGGTCATGGGCAAGCGTCGGTGGATCCATGAGCACTATGAATCCTCAATGGAATGATTGCCAATACACTCAGTTTGTGGAGCAAGCATCATTCGTAGGCAGTATCCGTTGGACAATACAAGAAATTCATCAAACGCGAAAAGAGCCAGGGACGCTGACGGGATACAACTTGCAGACAAGTAACAGCCACCACGTTGATCCGACGAGGATTGCTCGGTGCTCTGGGTAGGTTCCCCTCTGGGTATATGGTTTCTGTTTGTATTGCATAGTAATCAAAGCTAGGGCACGTTGCAAAATAAGCCTTCGCTGCGCGTTCTAGAAGCGAGGTTGGCATGCACCAGCGTTCAGCACGTATACCGCTTTCAGGAAGCGGGCCGCATACCACTGTTGACAGTTCCACGTGAGGATGAAACCCCTATGTGCTGTCTTGTCCTAGTCACGACTGTCGCTCGCTCAAGCAGTGAAGGCGGATTGTTCGCAAGCCATTACTCAGCTGCATGGCTGAGGGCCATGACGTAGCTGCGACTGGTACGTCACCCGAACATGAACGGGTGAGTTCAACATCGGTCCAACATGTCTTGTAAGATTCCGCCTGAGCGTTCATAGACCCCGCGAGGTCTTCACTCCCGGTTCGCAGGGTTGTCTGTGAGCAAGTTCTATAGACACATTGAGTCATGCCGTACCACATCGAAAGCTGCTGCGACATAGCTTTAAGACAGGGACCTTCCAGTCCTTAGCCGTCTAAGCGTAGCATCGTTCAATGCAGAAGTCCGTCGTGTCACCTTATTCAAGGAGGTAACCGAACACCCTGGAGCCTACATTAATGTAAAGATGCGCAATACGCGACCCGACGTCAACGTAGACTCCGAGAAATTCTTTTTCTTGCTTGAATGGGGTGGTGTGAAACACATGTTTTAAGACGTATATTTCAACCCAGGTAATGGTTTTGGGAACTAAATGATTTGCGATGATGGACCTGCCGAACATCCGGGTCTGCATGTACTGCATTCCGCGTGCGTTAGATCCAGTCCATCGACATACGAGTGTGCATAACACACTTACTTATAGCCGGGTACAATCCCGCAGATGCGAGGTTTCTCTCTCACAAGGCTGCTTCCTGAACGAGAAGGCGCTCTGACAATACGCAGCCAGCAGCGGGAAGCCCAGATCGCGCCATAACGATAACGGGAGCTCATTAGACAGTCTTGGAGAAGATCAACGGCGCATGTATGAATGAGACACATCGTATTCATGTAATGGCCCAGCGGCTTCCACGCACGGTATTGGCAGGCGTTCTAAGCCGACGAGGCAGCGGCAAGCCAGGCGACATGGCGCAGCAACGCCACGGCGGCACGGCTGGGGGCTGACAAACATGGGAAAGCGAGGACCTTGGTATCGCTGCAGTAAGGCCGTACACTCAAGCATGCGTGTAGCGGGCTGAACTGAAGGCGTGTGGGTGGCATGATAATGGCGGGGGAAATGTACGCGAACTGACTGCCGAAGCTAGCTCTTCTTAGCGTGCCAGTAGCGCCGCATCGGACCGCCTGGTGCTCGCCTCGCCTCCATCTTTATCGCGTCCATCTTCTCTTTTGTGCAACACCAAGAACGCTCTAGCTACAACGGGGCCACGTTGACAGGCTGTCAAAGCAACTTCCCTATCTTTTCGGAACCATACGCGCCTGCAGCTGTACAGCCTAGTGGTGTCTCTACCCACGACCCCACCGGAAGGAAAACAGCGTCCATACCCTCCATCTGCATTTCGCGATTGGCTGGACGGACACGAGAACGACCTCCCCGGCCTCACGTTTGTGCCTGAGGCCCTTCTTTTGTGTTGGCGAGCAGGTTTCCGCCGTCATGAAGCAAACAGTCCCAGATAGCGCCACCAGGCTGCAAAGTTTCAGCCCGATAGGTCACAGTTTGCTTGCTCTCCAACCATATACCTATTGGACTTGTCGCTGCGGCTGTAGTGCTCTCGCTATCGGTACCTATTTTGGAGATCTCGAACGCCTTTGTGCAGCTCGCTTGTGGCGGTGAACAGTAGAAGTTGAGCTGTCGTTTCCAGCGTTCCAACCTGGGTGGCATCGATAGACATCGCATTGTATGATTGGACGCTCTTGCTTGGAAGCAGGGATTCATTCCATGGTACGTTTGATACATTTACGGGAGAGTGGGGAATCGCTACCGTGGAGAGGGTCGACCATGGCCCTATGCATTACGTCTTCTTCCGTAAAGATACGGCTTCTTACTGTGATCCACGCGTGACTGGGGAAAATTTCGCATTCTTCCAACTAGTTATCTCCAGACATCCCGGCATTCAGCAAGCGGAAGCTCGAATTATTGTTACAAAGAAGCGTCGATCTTTACAGGAAGCAACTCTCGAGGACCGTGGACCTTGCGATGGTGAAAGTCGACGTCATGGAGCAGACTCCGAGCAAACCTGCTTCCACCGTCTATCCATGGATGGACACAGAACATGTCACTGGGCACTTGAGGAAATGTTTCAAATTCGTTTATGACAAAGTCAAGTTACTGAACGGCCGGGTGGACGGCATGGAAGCGCAAATGACGCATCTTAAACAGCTTGTCGAAGACGTTAAGATCAAGTCAGAAGCGGATAACCAAGGACTGCAAAGAGATATTGATGCTCAGAAGGCGCAGAATCAGCAGCTGCGAAACGAACTGGATGCTGAGAGGGATCGAAACCAGCGACTAGAGACTACGATCAAGGATTCACAACAGTCAATCACCCGGACCGGTCAACAGTTGGGTGATCTCTCCAACCAGTTTCGTGCCCACGAGACTATCGCTACTGCAAAGTTGCAAAGGACAGATCGAATCGTGCCAGATCTCAAGCAGCGGATTGAGTCGCTGGAACGGTCTGGCAATACCTACAGTCAGAGCATTGTCGAACTGCGAAACCACCTAGAAGATCGCTTCGAGACAGCAGTGGTTCATACCCAAGAATCTTTGCGCCACAACAAAACCGCCTGGATCAAAGGTCTAGAACTCCTCAGAACCGAGACGGCGGAAAAGCTCGCTACTACGACAGATCACTTCTCCACCGCTGTTGATACCGTGCAAGCGCAATCCCGCGAGCATACGGAAGCCTTCGAGAAGACAGCTCTGGCACTGGACCATAATTCCCAGCGTATCGAAGAGCTCGAAAAAGCGGTGGAAGAGCCACAGTTTCTGGAAAGCATGAACCACCGCGTCGAAGAGCTTGAGAATGCTAAAGAATCACATGATGCGGCACTACAAGCTTCTCAGGTCACAATGACCAGACTCGATTCCCTAGATGCCCGTCTGGGCGTGTCGGAAGTCGCTCTCAACTCTATTCGGACACCGAATGTGACACCTCCAACTACCACAACAGCTACCGCCGCTCTCGACGATCCTCAGAATAAGGTCGACGCAGTCTATTTACAGTTGAAGAATGAACTTGCCTCATTAAGTAATTGCAAAGACCGACTTGTCGCATTGGAAAAGCACCGCGGTACCCCTGCATCTCGCAAACTTGACAATAGGGTCTGCGTATTGGAAGAGAACTACGGCAAAATGCGCAATGACCATACAGACATGACCGCCAAGTGTGTTACCCACGAGCAGTTAGCTGCAGCAAGGAATGCCGATGCTGCCTCCCTCCAGACGACTATTCAGAACCACCGGGAAGAGGTGAAGCAGAGGGTGGAGTATAATGTTGTACTCCTGAATGGGCTAAGGGGTCAGCACCTACAAAATATAGAGACCTCTCTCAAAAAGGTCGTCCAGGATAACGCATTTCCCGTGAGTACCTACCACATCATCTCCATGATGTCTGCTTATGATCGTAAACTAATAAACCGGACTAGCAATTACTTCAAGACCCAGAAAGCGCACCGCCTGCTCGAGGACCGGCACCACAGTCAGCGTATCCATCACCACCCGCGACGAATCTGACACATCCCAGGCTGACGCATGATACCTGGCAACCAAATACATCCTCCACTCCTGTAGCGTTTCAACAGGCCATGCACATGCAGCACGCTCTGCTACTTGCAAAAGACGCTGCATCTGATGCTCGACAAGGAACCCAGCCAATCGCCGATACCATTGACCTCACCGCACCTGGGCAACCAACGTTCTTTCGACAAGTGCCTGAGAAGCGACAACGGATTGATCGACCGGCGCAACAGCAGGGTCAGCATTTAACGCAGCAGCAATGGCAACAACAAGTGCAACAACAGGCTCAGCAACAAGCTCAGCAACAGGCACAGCGACCGGCACAACAACAACATCTAAATCAACACGCTCCATCAATTGCCATGGGCGCCGTGCAGCAGAGGCAAGAACCGGTAGTGCAGATGGAATGGTCATCATAAGCGCATCGCGACGTGCGATTGCTCATGGGACGGCAATCACAATAGGCTGGGGGTGATACCATGGATATGGATGCACAGATTGAACTGGCATCCTAGAATCCGAGTGAAACGTATCAGTGATAACCTAGGGGTGAACGGGTTATGTGTCGAGCACTGTAATAGTGTCTAGTCGATATGCCATGGTATACTTATTAATCTATCTATACGTTTTGATGCGTGTGAGAGTGACGTGGCCAAGCTCATCAGCGTCTCAAAAGTGATGTCCCATCACGAAGCTAGCGATCTTCACCACACTGGCATTGCGATAACGATATCAGTGTCATGAAGACAATGGTGACGTGATAATATGAGTGACGCCTGACTCGTCTCCGCTCCAATGCATGCTGTATTGTATTGTATTTTACATTTTTACTATTTACTTCCCATCACGGCGCTTAGTTCTTGGGCTTGTACTCGGAGGGGTTGACCATAAGTTCGGGCCTGACGTACTTGTCAAAGTCCGACTCGCTGATGACCTCGAGCTTGAGCGCAGCCTCCTTGAGCGTGAGGTTATTCTTGTGTGCGTATTTGGCGGTCTTGCTAGCGGCGTCGTAGCCGATGACGGGGTTGAGGCAGGTAACGAGCATGAGACTGTGTCAAGTTAGCTATGTGACCAATACATATCTAGTGAAAAGTAACTCACCTCTCGCTCATGATGGAGCTGATGCGCTTCTCATCAGCCTCAAGACCAGCAACGAGGTTCTTCTCGAAGCTCCTCATGCCGTCGGCGAGCAGACGCGAGCTGTGGAGCAAGTTGCGGATCATGACGGGCTTGAAGACGTTGAGCTCAAAGTTGCCCTGGGATCCGGCGAAGGTGGTAGCGGCCTGGTTACCGAAGACCTGCGCGCAGACCATGGTGAGGGACTCGCACTGTGTGGGATTCACCTTTCCGGGCATGATGGAGGAACCAGGCTCGTTCTCGGGTAGCTTCAGCTCACCGAGACCGCATCGGGGGCCAGAGCCGAGGAAACGGATGTCTTGGGCGATCTTGAACAGGGAGGTTGCGAGGGTGTTGAGCTGGCCGTGGGCCTCGACGATGGCATCGTGGGCAGCGAGGGCCTCGAACTTGTTGGGTGCGGTGACGAAGTCCTTGCCGGTCATCTTGCTGACTTCCGACGCAATATCCTCTGCGAAACCCTTGAACGTGTTGATGCCAGTTCCGACGGCGGTTCCGCCCTGGGCCAGCATCTTGAGGCGCGGCAGACAGGTCTTTATCCGCTCAATGCCAAAGTCGAGCTGCTGTACGTAGCCAGAGAACTCCTGGCCGAGGGTCAGGGGCGTGGCATCCTGCAAGTGTGTCCTGCCAATCTTGATCAAGCTCTCCCACTGGTCGGCCTTCTTCTTCAGCGCGTCCCTCAGGCTGGCGAGGGCAGGCAGGAGCGACTCCTCGAAGTCGAGAACGGCGGCGATGTGCATGACGGTGGGGAAGGTGTCGTTGGACGAGGCGGACATGTTGACGTGGTCGTTGGGGTGGACTGGCTTCTTGGAGCCCATGGTGCCGCCGAGGATCTCAATGGCGCGGTTGGAGATGACTTCGTTCGCGTTCATGTTGGACTGGGTGCCCGAGCCCGTCTGCCAGACAACGAGGGGGAAGTGGTCGATGAGCTTCAGCGATGCCACCTCCTCAGCGGCCTGCTGGATAGCCTGGCCGAGCTTGGGGTCCAGCCCAAACTTCATGTTGACCGTGGCCGCGGCGCCCTTGAGGATACCGAAGGCGCGCACAATGGGCGGCGGCATGCGGTCCTGGGGCTGGTTGATCTTGAAGTTCTCGAGCGAGCGCTCCGTCTGGGCGCCCCAGTACTTGTCCGAGGGGACCTGGATCTCGCCAAAGGCATCGCTTTCGGTGCGCGTGTTGGCCATGGTGCTGGTGACGCTGAACTGGCGGCGCTGGAAGAGGCTCTGCGTCTTCAGCGGGGTACGGGGAGTGGTGGAGAGGGCACGCGTGCTGCGGGCACAGCAGAAGGAGGGGCTGGCCTTTGCATGTGCGAGTGATCGTAATGCTCCGGCCTCGGCGGCGCGGAGCTTCGTTGCGCTTCGGAACATGGTAGCAGCAGCAGCTGGCGGGGGGCAGGATGGGCAGAGGGGGTGGAGAAGACGCCGAATTGGCTAATCGTGTGCGCAGCGGAACTAGAGCGCAAGTCGCAAGTCAGAAGGCAGAAGATGGATAATTGGGATAATTGCTGCGACGCAAAATGCTGCCGTTCCGAGCTCTGACCTCATGCTCGCGGGAATTGCCTCCGGTCTCTCCCGCGGCATAACTCGCCGTCACATGACTGGCGGGATGCCAAGCCCAGAGTGGATGAAGGCTCCAAGAACGCAAACTTGAGCATGAAAGAATGTGGTCGGCGTGAATTTTCTGCTTACTTGTACCGCCAGCTCAGAATACCGCCGCTCAGCACCATGTTCTCCTGCCGCTCGCCTTCCGCACTCCGGCGCCAAAGCCTCAGCATTCCAAGGTTAGCCCGTGATGACTTCCGCATTGCAACGTCAAGCGTTCCGTCGCCTCGTCTGCGCTGATGCGGCGTCTCGCTCATGTCCCACAGCCCCGGCCAGCCACTGTTCCAACTTTTCCCATCACCTCGCGCAGAACGCTTGTAGGGCCGCGTCTATGCCATCTGCTCGAGACTCTGGCTCATCCTCTGCACATATATGCTTTGGCCGCTCCGGTCGGGCTAGTGGAATCTCTGCATAGCCACCGATCAAAAGCTTCGGCATTATCGGGCACACCCTGTTGAGTGAAACACACCTCGTACCGAGAGCCTGTCCCTACCCAAACTTCCGCCTGCATCGCGCCGCTGGGTACGGCTGAGGGTCCGCTTTATTGGGTGATGATGAGGGCTTCTGCATTCGATACTGACGATCTAGAGCTATGAGGGCAAACGACCAAGTACGTCTGGAAGCTAGGTCGGGGCGTGACGCCTTGGAACCATGTGCCCTGCGCTTTCCGTCTTCCGACGACTGGTCATATTAGATTAACGTAGCGAGTCAAGTCGGAGTGCACCTGATCTGTCTCCACCATCCTTTCGATCCATGCTGGGCGCTCGCCTTCGAGCGTGCCAACGTAACATGGAGCTAATAACCCCTCATCTTCACCTACGGCCCAGTTTCCAGCCTCCACAAACACTCCTGTTTGCATCTGCGGTCTGCTGTCTTTTGCAGCCTGCTATTGTGTCTTCAAGCTCACTCCACCTTTGCATTACTCCGTCCGTGAAGCACGGCTTCAGCTGGGCCGCACGTACTTGCTTAGCCGCAGATAAGGCTCCCATGACGCTGATCGAGCCTTCTACCACGAACCCCTCTGCCCAACGACTGCCTCAATCAAGGCCGAGTTGTTCTGACAGTTGTTCGCAATCGATACACGATAGCGTCAACACCCGCGTTCCTCCAGACCTTTGCTCGCCACCGATCGACACAGCTCACGAAACGACACAGCTCGTGAAAAAAGGTGCAAGACGTCTGTGGAACTGCTCGTATGGCTGAGTCTGAATACGGCGCCGGTCCCTGGGTTCACGATAGGATAGGCGCTCGAAACTCAGATGCAGAGCTGACTGCCCCGCTTCTCGCCGCGCATACACCGTTCCAACAACAACTGCCAACGTTGTATCGAAATCCATACATGTCCAATAGCAGCCCCTCCATGTCTCAGGCTCAGGATGCACCAAATGTGTCTACCAGCAGCCACCCACAATGTCCAGCTTTGCCACCTATTGGAATGCGTCACCACTACTATGCTCCTCATGCACACTCATACCAGTTCACAAACCCTCAAAGACCATCGCAAACCTGGAACGGGCCTCCGCACCTCTATCCCGGCCAGGCGTTCTACGACCCCGGCGTCACTTCACAGGGTGACCAGCTGCGCCATCATTTAGGAGCACCGAGTCACAACTTTCCGCTTCTAGGGTCACCACATGCCGCGCCTCCTTCGAATCCCCGACAACGCAATGATTACAGAAGACACGACCACAGAATGAGTGCCGGGGCTGTGGCAGTTAGTATGCCTACTGACAACACACGCTTCCCCGAACCACGGGGTTCAGTAGCACCCCCGGAAGCCCGGTTTCAGCATCCGCGACCACCACTTCAACAATCAATCCACCCAGGTGAGGCACTGTATTCTGGATTGCCTGAACGTCCGTGGCCGTCACACGAGATTCCAAGCCGCCGCTCAGACCGTAGCGTATCCCCGCGCACGTCGAATCGCCGTAACTTTGAACGATACTCGGTTGACCTCTCCCACTCCAGCACGTCGTCTGACGCAGAAGAAGCGGCTGCCCGTGCGCCGCCGCTGAGTCGTATGAGGCATCGATCTAGAGAAGTGCGGCCGCGTATCGCGGGCCGCTACCCGCCTCAATTCGATCCCAACATTGCTACCGCTCGCCAGATTGAACAATTGAAAACCAGTCTCCAGCGCCATCTACCAAGTACGCTGCCAGAGAAAGCGTCCAAGGCTTGTGACATTTGCCAGAAAGACTATGCCGCTACACGTGTGTCGCCCACGGAAGAGGAAGAAATTGCGATTGAGCTCTCGTGTGGACA